AGAATTTCTGGGATCATTAAATACTTTTCCTGGATAGCTCGGTAGTTTGAGCTTTGGCCTGCTAAACCCAGGGTTGTAAGATCAATCCTTGAGGGTTTGGATATGGGGCAAAAATTGGGGCAAAAATTTAGGGCAAAAATTGGGGATTGATCCTGCTTTGAGCAGGGGGTTGGACTAGATGACCTCCTGAGGTCCCTTCCAACCCTGATATTCTATGACTGAATAGGCAGTACTGCCCCCACTCACAAGCAAACTGAGTCTCTACATGAAGCAAGGAGAACTTAATTTGGGGAAATGGAACCTGGCATCAACTTGGGAAGACACAACATTATATCTACCTGAATGGTCAGTAAAAGCCTCCCCCCATGGTAGCTTTGTCTGTAGGTCATTAACTCAGTTCTCCACCCACAGGTGTGAATATCCAACAGGCAAATGTCCTGTACCACAGCCCTTCCCCATTTCCCACTCACTGAACCCCACTCCAGGTTTGGAGTCAGCTTTTAATGTAGTCCTGCAGTCCAGGCATGCACTCAGACAGTCCTGTCTCCAATCTCCTGGGGGAATGCTATTCAATCTGCTTCTGAGAAGCCACCCCCAACCCAGCTACAATGACTTCAGCTTTATTTAGTGGTTGGCTAGAAAGAACCTCACCTCTCTTTTTGCAGCGTCCTTCATTAGTTTCAGCAATGAGCATCCTTGATGTTGCCCCCCAACAAGTACCTGCTGCTACATCCCCTCAAAAAAAAAATCCTCTCAACAACTGAGAGTGTTCAGTGGGAGAAAAATCAGTAGCACATAGGATCCTTGAGCAAAATCTTCCACGGGATACATTCATTGCCAAAAACCTTTCCTTTTTGCCCTCAGTTCCATTATGCAACCAATTCTGAGTTTTTGTACAGTTATGGTGACTCCTGGACAGGGCCAGATTAATCTTTTGTGGGCCTGGCACCAAATATATTTGTGGGACACTACAGCAGGAGCACCAGAACCTCCCCCTGCCCCACATCTTCCCCCCTCCCACAAGGCCTTGCCCCAACTTTTGCTCCTCCCCCTTCCCCATCGCTCAGTGCTCTCCACCTCTATTCCCCCCACAGGGGTTTAAGCAAAGAGAATGAAGTCGCTGTATGCTTTGCTTTATATGTCCATATACTTCCTTCCTCTCAAACAAAAAAACCCCTTCATCATGTGGATCAATTAGCCACTTCCAAGAAATGCAGGTATAAACATGCATGAAATTTTCCACCATATATGAGCCTAGTTTGGTCCTTCATAACCCCATACAATTTTTGGCCACTCAGTGCATGGCACTTTCTAAAGCCAGACCTTAATTACATTTATTACTAAATAGTGTCTTAATGTGATAAACAACAGTAGTGTTTAATGTCTTTGGCATCCAAAAATCAAAGACTTCTGGACATGGTGTCAAGGTTCCTTCCCCACTCTTAACTCTAGGGTACAGAAGTGGGGACCTGCATGAAAACCCCCTAAGCTTATTTTTAGCAGTTTAGGTTAAAACTTCCGCAAGGTACAAACTATTTTACCTTTTGCCCTTGGATTGATTGCTGCCACCACCAAGCATCTAACAGGGAAAGAGCCTGCTTGGAAATGTCTTCCCCCCCCCAAATCCTCCCAAACCCTACACCCCCTTTCCTAGGGAAGGCTTGATAAAAATCCTCACCAATTTGCATAGGTGAGCACAGACCCAAACCCTTGGATCCTAAGAACAATGAAAAAGCAATCAGGTTCTTAAAAGAAGAATTTTAATTGAAGAAAAAGTAAAAGAATCTGTAAAATCAGGATGGTAAATACCTTACAGGGTAATCAGATTCAAAACACAGAGAATCCCTCTAGGCAAAACCTTAAGTTACAAAAAGGCACAAACAGGAATATACATTCCATTCAGCACAGCTTATTTTATCAGCCATTTAAACAAAACAGAATCTGACGCATATCTAGTTAGAACTTAGTAAGTAATCTAAGACTTCATTCTTGTTCTGGCCCGGCAAAAGCATCACACAGACAGACTCAGACCCTTTGTTTCTCCCCCACTCCAGCTTCTAGCTTCTTAACCCTTTACAGGTGAAAGATCACCTGCTGAACCCATCCCTCCAACACAGGAGCCTACCAGGCTGCTGACAGTGTTCATTTATCTGCTACAACGCATCTGACTGAGCAAGGCAAATGGTGTGGGGAGTTATTACTGCAAGCGTTTAACGGGTGGGTGAGAGGGAAGGATACATAATGGAGGCAACCTTTGAGGTAGGGAGTGATGAGAAGAGGTAGGTGGGAGCACGTAGGGAGAAGGACTGGAGATTTCAAACTGTTTTTAGGGACCTTTCAGCTACTTTTAACTAATTTTTTATTGCAAACTTGTTTAACTGGCAATCCATTCCAACTGTATTCTGAAGTCAATGGAATTGCCCACATGCATTAAGAGAGGCATCTTAGCAGGGCTGGCTGAAAATTTAACTGTTTTTTGATGGAAAATTGGGTTTTTGATTAAACTAAATTGTTCATGAAAAGTGTTTTAGAGAAAAGCAAATTTCAATTTGATAAAAAGTTTTTTAAAACAACCAAAACTGAAATATTTTGATTAAAATCTACCACTGTGGTACTTCCTGGGAGTTGTAGTTCAGTTTCCTTATATCCCCATTCTCCTCCCTGGGCCAGGCTCCCCAGCTGGACTATATCTTCCATGATGCACTGTGTCCACTCACCAAGAAGGGAGACCTGGAGTAAATGATACACCATGATTCACACTATTGTGAGTATAGAATTTGGCTCATAACACTACTACCTAGTTCTTTTTACCCTTGGATCTCAAAACCCTTTACAAAGGAGATTAATATCATTAACCTCATTTTACAGCAATGGAAACCAAGGCACAGGGCAGCAACATGACTTGCCCAAGGTCACCCAACAAAGCCAGGATTAGAACTCAGGTCTCCTGCATACTAAGCCAGTAATCTATCCATTAAAGCACACTGCCTCCTTGTTTGGGTGCATGAGTCAGGACATGAGAAGCCGCTGCCTCCTTCACTGAGTGGCAATGGCTCCTGAAGAGCACATTAAATGAAAGCAGGGCTCACCATTTTTTGCTGCAATCCTAAATTAGCCCCCTCCCTTTAGGGCTCTGAGAAAGGGTTGCCAAGCAGCACTTGCGATGCTAGAAACAACTTCCACAGATGCATGAATTATGCTTTTCAAATCTGTATCATTCAGCTAAATCAAAGCCAGTTTGCACCAGAATCTGAACTGTTTTCGCTGACAGATGTCAGCTCCCTCTCCCTCCCACTTCAGCACTGAAGCACTCCAAAAAAAGTTCACAAAAGAGAATGGATAATGAATTATGTTTGTTTGGGTTTTGTTTTCTTTCTTCAGAGAAACCAGTTTTGTTCAAATTTTGACTCTCTGGACATGGATTAGGGCTTGAAAACTTCACTCCAAAGCTTTAGTCTTTCAGCCTGATCAGAGATACCGAAAACAAGTATCTGGAAATGCTTAGGCAACCTTAGCTGTATTACTGCCACGAATGCTCCAACCATTGTAAAATGTCCATCTATGTCATAGAGTCTTAGAGTTTAAGGGCAGAAAAGACCACCAGATCATCTAGTCTGACCTCCTGTAGGCCAGAGGCCAATAATACCACCCAGCCCCCACACACCAACTCCAACAACTAGGCCACACTACTACAGCCCTCTGGACACTACACTATTGTGTGCCACAGGTAGAGAACAAGAGCAACAGAAGGGTTGAATAAATATTTCTGTTCTGTACTTGAGACTAAACAGATGCTAATCTCATCATACGGTTCCATTCCATTAGTATCTCTGGAGGGTGTTAAACAGCAACTACTAAAGTTAGACATTTTTAAATCAGCAGCTCCAAATAATTTGCATCCAAGGGTTTTAGAAGAGCTGACTGAGGAGCTCACTGGACAGTTAATATTGACTTTCAGTAAGTCCTGAATCACCGGGGAAGAAAGCTAGTATTGTGACAATTAAAAAAAAAGTGTAAACGGGTTGACCCAAATAATTACAGGCCAGTCAGCTGGTATCGATCCCAGGGAAGATAATGGAGTGGCTGACTGGAAGAGGCCCCAGGGGTTTTTCGCCTTCCTCTGTAGTGTGGGGCACAGGTCACTTGCTGGAGAATTCTCTGCACCTTGAAGTCTTTAAACCATGATTTGAGGACTTCAAGAGCTCAGCCATAGGTGAGAGGTTTATCGCAGGAGTGGGTGGGTGAGATTCTGTGGCCTGCGTTGTGCAGGAGGTCAGACTGGATGATCATAATGGTCCCTTCTGACCTTAATATCTACAAAACTCTATGAAATTACTTGATTAATAAAGAATTCCCTAACACAGGCCAGTTGACTCAAATCCCTGTCTCTGAGCTTATACTGCAATGTAGACATAGACCCACAGGGGACAGAGCTAACGTTGCATGTACTGCTCCGGAGCCAGATGTGGCTCTTCAGAAGTTAATATGCAGCTCCTTGTATAGGTACCGACTCTGGGGCTGAAGCTACAGGCGCCAACTTTCCAATGTGCCGGTGGGTGCTCACCGCTCAACCCCTGGCTCTGCCACAGGCCCTGCCCCCACTCCACCCCTTCCCCGGAGCCTGCCATGCCTTGGCTTGTCCCCCTCCCCACCAGAGCCTCCTGCACGTCAGAAACAGTGATCAGGAGGTGCAGGGATGTGCTGATCAGCGGGGTTGCCAGGCACTGGGAGCGAGGGCATGGCAGGCTCAGGGGAGGGGGTGGGGCTGCTGACATATTACTGTGGCCCTTTGGAAACCCCTGGCCTTATGAGATAATTCTTGTCTTTCAACTGGTTTAATTGGGCAACTTTCGGTTCAGGCTACCTAGTCTCCACCTACCAGTGCTGACGAACATAGGCACCAACTCCGTGGGTGCTTGGGAAAAAATGGTTGGTGCTGAGCACTGACCGACAGCCCCCCCTATCAGCGCCCCCCCCCGCCCAGTGGACCCCAATGATCAGCGCCTCCCATTCTCTCCCAGCACATTCCGCCCACCGTGATCAGCTGTTTTGCAGCATGCAGGAGGTGCTGGGGGCAGCAGAAGGGAGGAGTGAGTGTGTAGTGCACTTGGGGAAGGGGTTGAATGGGGCAGGAAGAGGCAGGGCCTTGGGGAAGGAGGGGAGTGGGGGCAGGGTCTGGCACAGAGCCAGGGGTTAAGCATCCCCTGGCACATTAGAAAGTCAGCGCCTATGATGGACAGAATGCTTTCCTGTACTTTTAATCTCACAGTTGTGATGCTGATTCTAGCTTTCTTAAAGGCCATTCACATGCCACAGAAAAAAACCCCACTGCTTTCCCAGTTTTGTATTAGACAAATAACATGCTGATCGTGATCAATCCCTACATGTCATTAAAGGCCCAATCCTTCAAAGTGCCCAGCAGCTCACAGGTCTGGGTGCTGTGATTCCATGTGCCAGCCAGCATCATTAGACACAGAGCTAGTGTGTTAATATTAGAAACATGAAACCAGTTCTAAACCAATTATTTGTGGAGTACATTTCTCCCCTTGCAGCTGGGCAGTCTACAACTACAGAAGCTGTACACATTTTAAGCAATAAGCAAAGCTGCAGGCTTTGAGTCCCTGATACAAAAGCATGCCTTTTAACCTGGATATGAAGGCTGGGGTTTTCATATGAGCTGATGGCGGTGGGTGCTTAAATCCCTTGGGTTCCTTTGAAAAAGAATGCACAAAGGGAACAAGGAAGGGATGATTAAAGATCTGGCTTTCTCAGATCAAGATTGTGGCTCCCTTACACAAGTGGCGAGTTGTTCCACTGGAACCAATAAGACTACTTCAATAGGGAAGAGTATAAAAATATTGTTCGGGGATGCAGGAGTGAAATCAGGAAGGCCAAATCACACCTGGACTTGCAGCTAGCAAGAGATGTTAAGAGTAACAAGAAGGGTTTCTTCAGATGTTAGCAACAAGAAGAAAGTCAAGGAAAGTTCGGGCTCCTTACTGAATGAGGGAGGCAACCTAGTGACGGAGGATGTGGAAAAAGCAATGTACTCAATGCTTTTTTTGCCTCTGTCTTCACAAACAAGGTCAGCTCCCAGACTGCTGCGCTGGGCAGCACAGCATGGGGGGGGGAGGGGTGACCAGACCTCTGTGGAGAAAGAAGTGGTTTGGGACTATTTAGAAAAGCTGGACAAGCACAAATCCATGGGGCCGGATGCATTGCATCCCAGGGTGCTAAAGGAATTGGTGGATGTGATTGCAGAGCCAATGGCCATTATCTTTGAAAACTCATGGCCATCGGGGGAGGTCCCAGGTGACTGGAAAGGCTAATCTGGTGCCCATCTTTAAGAAAGGGAAGAAGGAGGATCCAGGGAACTAAAGACCAGTCAGCCTCACCTCAGTCCCTGGAAAAAATCATGGAGCAGGTCCTCAAGGAATCAATTCTGAACCACTTAGAGGGGAAGAAAGTGATCAGAAACAGTTAGCATGGATTCACCAAGGGCAAGTCATGCCTGACTAATCTAATTGCCTTCTATGAAGAGATAACTGGCTCTGTGGATGAGGGGAAAGCAGTGGACATGTTATTCCTTAACTTTAGCAAAGCTTTTGACACGGGGAAATGTTTCAAAGTTGAAATGTGTCATTTTATTTAGAAATTCAGCTAGATTTAACTTAAAAAAAACCACAACTTAAGGGTAAGAGACCCCAAAATAAAACAATTTGGATTGAATAAACATTTAATTTGACCGAAAACAAAGTTTTTGGTGGTGGTGGTGGTGGCGGCTTTGGTTTCTTGCTGGGAAAAAAAAAAAAGATTGTCATTTTGGGTTAACCCGAGAACAAAAATCTTGTCAGATTTTTTTGGTCAGCCACCAAATCAAAAAAAGTCAATTACTCACCCAGTTCTACTCACTAAAATAAAGGCTCCACAAACTGTCCCTGAGGGAAGCCAGACTTAAGGTAGTTTGGGTTTTTTAATAGTTACTTTCCACATTTTCTAATGTTGGGTTTCTTGTAAATTTAACCTTAGTATTGAATTGCCTGGCTTTTAGGTAATTAAGGGTAAAAATCCCTACAGGTGTCTTATTTAACTGATACCTACCCTCAGCCTTTAGTGCCAAATTCAAGCTGATCTTCACCAGAACTCTCCAGGGTCCTTCTCCTAAATGAAGGCTATTTTTCTAGGAAATTTCATCTTTCTACTGCTACCCATTTTGGCAAGAGAACCATTCAAAAAAAAAAAGAGTGGCATAAGAACTATTTTACAAGTAGGGAATGTCATGTATTTGTCCCTCTATACAGTCTCAGATGTAGCTGAGCTACTTCCCCTTTTAAACTCCATGTGCACCTAAAAACAAACTGGGGCTTCGCAAATTTCAGCCTAACAGGGTGAAATTTGGGAGCAAAGAAAAAAACCCAACCACCATCAATAGAGGTTGCTGCTGCTTTAATAGGTCTCTTCTGTTCTCCATGCTCTGTCTGGGAAACAGCTCATCACCCTGTGACATTTCAACACAGTTACAATGTCTTCCAGGATTTCTAAAGTTGCCGTGAAATCCATTCCATTGGGAGATGAGAGGTACACCCACCACTCCCATACACTCAGGTCAAGTGAGATTGAAAGAACCAACTCACAATACCTTTTCAACCCATTATTGAAGAAGCTGGCGTAAGAGTCATTTAGGAGGTCTTTTCCAAGAGGATGGATAAAGCTAGTGAGTCATTATTGCCCATCTTCCCTTCTGCGTAAAAACACATGTGATCTCTGGACCAGACTCAGTAAGAGAGAGAAGGGCGTCTTATCTGCAAGATGAGGGAGAGATTCAGGCACCACGCATATATGCTTTTTACCCATGAAAGCTGCTTGGAGTTTGTTGGATGCTGCTGATAGACTACTGCCATGGAGGACTGGTTCCGTTGCTGAACTGTGGTTGTGGGGGTGACAGCAAAGGAAACACTTGCTCTGCCTCATGATCCTGTGACTTATCCTGGAAGAAAAGACAAAATCACTACCTGGTGGGTCTCCTTGCCACCATCTTCCTTGTCCATCCACTCCCTCAGCCCAGACAAAGAACCCCCACCCTGATAGAGCCACTGACTTAACATCTTAAGTCCTCACCGAGTCGGAGGAGATAGCGTCTTTAGAAACGATGTTCTGGATTACAGAGAAGATCAGCATCAAGGCCAAGATTCCCTATGCCACACAGCCAATAAGAGAGAGATACAATTAGTGACACTATCTGCTATGGACTAATAGGGCCAAAATCTGGTGTCATCTACACCAGTGTAAATCTAGAGTTAATTCCACTGAAGTCAATGCAGTTTGGATTCAGGGGAATTACACCAATATAACCAAGAGCAGAATTTAGCCCAAAGAGAGAAAACACCACAAGGGCCTGAATGGGGAGACGAAAAACAAAACCCTATCAGTTTGCATAAAACAAGACTTGAACCTTCTCTAATGTTTCAGAGAGTTTAATGAGCATTTGCTACAATTATTTTCTAACAATGTTCCTCATGCTATCATGCATCCAAGTTCCAGACAGTGCCTGTTGTCTTTAAACATCTCCCATGCTAATACTAAGGTCCATGAGAGTCCAATGAACATGGATAACTCTCCAAACCCAAGCACTGACCCTCCCCTTAGATGCTGAGCCATCACCAGTTCTAAATAGCTCAGAAGACACAGAATTCATAGCACCTTGTGGAACCACAGCACTTACCGTCTTGTAAGAACCAATGCTCTGACAGTAGTCCCAAGGGATGGGGCTTTCTTCACAGCGATGAGGGAGAAGGAAGCTGACTAAGTGGATTTTATCCAAAATTGGGATGGAAACTTTGTACTTGTTTAGAATGCAAATATTAATCAAATCAATTCCCAACATTATTCCTCCAGCTAATGAGGCAAGGAAGCTGATGGCATTCAACATATTGCTGCCTGCCTCCTGAAAGAGATATGCAGAGGGCACAGGTTAGGACAGTCATATCAATACCCAGACACATGGCCACTGAGTATTGAGCCATATACATACATAAGCACAGCAACCCATATTTGCAACATTCCAGCCTTCTTTTGCCCCATTTCCTCTGACTTCATCCCTCCACGCACAGATAAAGAGAACAACAAAATACACATATGGCAGAGAAGCACTCCCTTTTAATAGACAGAGTGATTAGCAACACTCTATGGTTAAGGTTGCCTGAATGTTAAAGGGCTTTTTCAGTTACTTAGAACTTCGTCAAACTTTTCACTTTCTAGGCTGCAATTTTCCATGTTTGTTTTAAGCCCATGAATGAACTTTTGGGGAAAATGTGAACAAAAACAGTTCAGCAATTTTTTTTAAAGTACTAACAGAGTGAAAAAAGATTACATCTTACCTTGGCCATCGGAAATAAATGATTAAATTGCTAAATGAAGGACAAAGTCAGGAAATGGTGAAGTTAAGTGCGCTAATCACACCTGGATTCTGTCTCCTTAATGGGCAATTTTACATAGTATCATAGGATTAGAGTTGTGCAAATCATGGATTTTTTGGTTCACTGGCAATTTTCAAAAATAAAAACAATTGTTTTGGCATCAAAATAAAAATTTTTCAGCAAATCAAAAAAAATTCACTTTGAGCCAAATGAAACGTTTCATTACAATTGCAAACATTTTTTTAAAATATAAAAATAAAATTCGAGGATAATTTGATTTGAAAAGTCAGTTCAAACCATTTCAAAAATGTCAAAACATTTTTTTTCTGAATTTTTTTGTTTTGTTTGTTTTCTAAATAAACAATTCAGTGAAACCACCACGAACTGGTCAAGTGTGTGTGCCTGCAATCACAGAGTTTGTGGAATGGGGCAGCACCCACCTCTTGTGAGTGCCCCGCCACCCCCAGTGGTTTCTTCGGTGAGTCTTCAGTGACTCAGCCATCCAGCCAAGCCACACAAACTGACTGTAGGTGGAACATCATAAACCCCTTCCAGGGTAGGCACTCTTTACTTCCCCCAGCCCTGGTATGAGGCCACAGCCCCAGGACCTCCTCTCTGGAGACATTGTGTTCCTGCAGCCCTCCCTGGACTCAGTCCTTGTTCAGTCCCAGCAGCCAGCCAGGAGCTCCTTCTTAGCACCCCCAGTTCCTTGCCGCACTGAGCTGTCCATGAACCTCTGCTTTTTCACCCAACCAGGAACATAGTCCTCTTTTCCAGCTCCAGCGCTCCTTTTTATATAGAACTGCTGCCCCCTGATTGGCCACTCCTGCAGCCCTTCTGATTGGTTGCTTCCCCTGCAGTCACTCTAGGCCACTTGGCGGACTTCTCTTCTGCTCCTGTCTGGGATGGGGTGTGGCAGGACCATGAGGCTGCCAGCATGAGCCCTTTGGGCCTACTCCACCCCATCACAGCACTGAAGATTTACACCCCAGCTTGCTGAGCACTAACTCTCCATCTAGACAAGCTCTTAGAATTCCAATAACAGACCCTAGTTATAGGTGGCCATCTAGGTTGCCATCCCCAACTCTCCTGAGATTCCTTCCTCTTCCCCAGAGAAAACATGGCATAGACCCACTTCCTCGTCCCTAATAGGACAATTAATGCCTCCACAGGAAGGTAAATATCCACATCCTCTGGGCCCTCTCCTTTTAAAGGGAAGACTAATTCTGCAGATTAATTTAGACAGGATCCACAAGGGATCCTCAAACAAATGAAGTCTGGGTGCGGGGGAGGGAATCTGATTGCTCTCTATAAATACATCAGGTTGGTAAACACCAAGGACGGAGATGAGCTATTTAAGCTAAAGGACAATGTTGGCAAAGGAAGGAATGGGGATAAACAGGCCATGAATAAATTTAGGCTGGAAATGAGAGGAAAGTTTCAATTCATGCAGGGAGCAAGGATCTGGAACAGCCTCACAAAAGCAGGAGTGGGGGCTAACAACCCAACTAGTTTTAAGATGGAGCTTGGTATATTTATGTGTTGGATTCTATGATGTGGTTTCCCACCATGTCAGGTGCCTGGACTTGATTACCTAGCAGGTCCCTTCCAGTCCTATCTCCTATGTTCCTAAACAGCGGCTTTTGGGGAGTTATTTTAAATATCAGTCCAGAAGCTTTTTCCCAGACCCAGACCTAAGTTTGGGTCCACGTGGCCTAGTAATTAGAACTCCCAGTTTTCACCTAGATGGCTGGGTCTTGATGCCCAGTGTGGGGTGAAGATCCAAACCAAAATGACACAGCCTGCTCTGCTTCAGGAGGAAACTGTCTTCATCTCAGTTCACTGACTCCTGTCCAAGTCCCAAATGGAAACAAACAGAACCTTTTCCTCCAAGGATCAGATGGATCATTGCCCTCAGACCAGGAAGCTGTCATCTTATAACTACTGCAGACTGGACCTCTAATGAGCCCTAGCAGACTGATCTCTGTCCATTAACCCTTGCCTTCCCAGCCCTGAGTCCTATGGCTCTCTCATTCTCAGGTCTCTGAGGGATCGTATATCCTGTCACATCCTGCCATATTAACCAAGCAGTTCGGATGGTGTTCAGTGAATGAGGCAGGAGGTCCATTCATGGAAGAGTTAAGCATAAAGAAAAATATTGAGCAGAGCTGGCTCATTCACTGAGCCCCATGCAACCCATGCTCTGAAATCAGGCTTGGTCATGCAGAGAAAACAAACTACTGCAATAATGCAGATGCACAAGGGGGCACTGTTAAAGTTGTGTGGGCAACCTTAACTTAGGCATTTTCTAGCTTTTGCATGCATTATGCCACATTTAATGCATATTTTTATAGAATCATAGAAGATTAGGGTTGGAAGAGACCTCAGGAGGTCATCTAGTCCAAACCCCTGCTCAAAGCAGGACCAATCCGAGCCAGGGCTTTGTCAAGCCGGGCCTTTAAAACCTCTAAGGATGGAGATTCCACCACCTCCCTAGTCTACCCATTATATGGAATCGTGTTTCAAGCAAACCCATGTGTACTTCTGCAGCAATCCGTCTCTCCTTGAGTGAGAGGGGAATTCGTTCAATTCTGAGTTTCACCTTTGCATGCTCCTCCCCATGGGACACCAGCCATATCCCGGAGGGCATTCTTGACAGACAAGGGCTCTGATTTCTCCCCTTAGTGTTAACTTGTAAGTCTCTCCCAATAACAGGATACTGCATAGCTCACCAGACCCTCTGTGATATTCGTTGCAGTTGCAGTTGCAGCTGAGAGGGACCCAGAAATGATGAACTGTAAAGAAAAGAGAAAATGATCATTAATTAAGGTGAGGGTCACTTTAAAGTTTTAGATAAAGAGCTCCTCCCCGACCCATCCATAGGTCTGAACATTCCATCCACCCACCCTATCCATATACACCCACCAACCCCAAGCATACATACCCATCCCTCTCACAGCTTTCTCATCTGTCCATCTCATTGCCTAATCATAGAATAGGAGGGTTGGAAGGGACCTCAGGAGGTCATCCAGTCCAACTCCCTGCTCAAAGCAGGACAATCCCCAATTTTTTCCCCAGATCCCTAAAAGGCACCCTCAAGATTGAACTCACAACCCTGGATTTAGCAGGCCAATGCTCAAACCACTGAGCTATCCCTCCCCCCTGGACTACATCCTTCCTGTGACAAATTAGCCCAATTAGAGTGCCCTGGGCTGGGACTAACATGTCACTTCACCTACAGAAAGAAAGTTAAAATAAAACAGCTTGGTCCTATCCCTTGCATGTTAATTCAAGTGATCAGGGAGCAGCCAGTAGCCCCACTAATGTGCCAGTGATCAGAAAGCAACCAGTGGCCCATGGCAAGACATATGTCTGGGTCAAATCAAAACAAAAATAGGAACATCTTATGAAACATCTGTGTCACTGTTCTCTCTCTCCCTCTTTGATAGAAGGATGTTGATTTATGATCTATTCAGCCCATAGGTAAATATGAGAATACATCTGTCCAGAGTATCTATAATTAAGGCTGGATTCAGTTTTTCACTTAAAACATGGATTCAACCGCTTTGTCGTCGATGTCCAATATAGTGTTTCTGTAACACACACTGAGTCTTTGTCACTTTCTAGTGCCTGGTTCATATAAAAAGTTTTAGATTTACACAGCTTCCAGCTTATAGAATTTAGTTCTTTAGCATAAGCAGTAGAGACTTTCAGTGTTTCCCGGTTCAAATCCCACTGCTGGCCCTAGCAGGATTGGTTACATATCATTCTCCACATTGCAGGGGTGGAGTAAAGACTGAATTTGCTGAAGATTTTCAACTAAAATCTGCTATTTAGTTTCTCAGGGGAAAATAATTAAAAATTGGACCTTTAAGCCTCCCCCCAGCATCTCACCTTCTTTTGGACTTTGTTTGCTAACAAGTGACTGTTTTTTTATCCCTGACAACTCCCATATTGCTAAACCTCACTGCAAATTAGTGACAGTGTACATTTGAAGAAGTTAGGTTGCAGTTAAGCAAAGTTATGAAGGATCACTGTATCCTTTCTTTGCCATTGTTGCAGCAATTTTCCCTTACTCAAAATGACTGCCATTTTCCATGATTCACAATGGGATTGAAGCTACTCATGCCCTCAATAAACATGGTCACTGGCATATGCCTCTACTAAAAATGGTTGCCACATCCCATTGTTTCCATTGGAATTGAAGCCACAGATTGCCCTCAAGGAAGATGGCTGCCATTCCACTAAAGCCTTGCCACGTAAAAATGATGCTGCTTCTATGACCCCTCGGGTTGCTAGGTGTCCGGTTTTCGACCGGAATGGCCAGTCAAAAAGGGACCCTGGTGGTTCCGGTCAGCACCACTGACCGAGCTGTTAACAGTCTGGTTGGCGGCACAGCAGGGCTAAGGCAGCCTCCCTGCCTGATGAGGCTCCGTGCGGCTCCCGGAAGCAGCTGCATGTCCCCGCTCTGGCTCCTATGCATAGGGGTACCCAGGGGGCTCCTCCGCATGCTGCCCCCGCCTCAAGTGCCGGCTCTGCTGCTCCCACTAGCCAGGAACCGCGGCCAATGGGAGCTGTGGGGGTGGTACCTGCAGACAGAGCAGTGCGCAAGGCGCCTGGCCTCACCTCTGTGCAGGAGCCAGAGTGGGGACATGCCGCCGCTCCCAGGAGCTGCCTGAGGTAAGCGTCTGCACCCGTAACCCCTCTGCCCCAACCCGGAGCCCCCTCACTCACTCTGAATCCCTCAGCCCAGAGCCCCCCTCCTGTACCTCAAACCCCTCATCCCTCAGCCAGAGCCCTCACCCCCCCACCCCAACCCCTTGCCCCAGCCCAGAGTCCCCTCCTGTACCCCAAATCCCTCATTCCCAGCCCCACACCAGAACCCGCACCCCTAGCCGGAGCCCTCACATCCCTGCACCCCAATCCCCATGCCCCAGACCGGTGAAAATGAGCGAGTGAGTGAGGGTAGGGAGAGTGAATAACAGAAGGAGGAGGGATGGGATGAGTGGGGGCAGGGCTTCGGAGAAGGGGCGGGATGGGGGTAGTAGGGTGTTCGCTTTTGTGTGAGTAGAAAGTTGGCAACCGTAATGAACACAACTTCCCATTGTTTCTGATAGGATTGAAGTCAGGGACTGTCCTTGAGGAAGATGGCTGTGCCATATGTTCTTTGTTTAGAAATCTGGACAGGAAACCATGAGGAGGAGGTAGTCTACGCTGCGGGCTCCCACTCAGTCAGTCAGAAGGAGTAGCAGCTATGGTTGCAGAGGAGTTACCGGCTTTGATACTAGGTGCTGTCTGGCCTCACTAGTAGCTCTGTGGCTTTGCAACCCTTGGAGCTGTGGCTGGCACAGAGCAGACACAGCACTTGACAAAAAGAAAGGAGTACTTGTGGCACCTTAGAGACTAACCAATTTATTTGAGCATAAGCTTTCGTGAGCTACAGCTCACTTCATCAGATGCATTAGCTCACGAAAGCTCATGCTCAAATAAATTGGTTATTCTCTAAGGTGCCACAAGTCCTCCTTTTCTTTTTGCGAATACAGACTAACACAGCTGCTACTCTGAAACCTGAACTTGACAGTCTACCCACAGCTTGGGAAAGTGGGCAGAGTTATGCTGGAGGTAGGAGCAGCAGGCCTCCTCCTCGCATTTCCCTCATGACCACACACCACACTCAACTGGCCAAATGCTGAGTGTTTGCTAGCGCTGCTGAGGTTAGGCCTCAGACTGAGGGGGATGAATTCACTGCCTGTAAAGTGTTTCCTTATCTCTTGAAGGCAGCCTGCTTCTATCAGTAGGCGTGGGCATTAAAATATGGTTAAGAGACAGGGCCACATTCCCTTGCCTTTAAGGGTTTGTGTCTCTGCTCCCCTGGCTTACACTAGGGGCACAAGTTACAGGGAGCTGTAAGGGATACGCTGCTGATCCCCCAGAGCAGTTTATAGCAGCTGGGGTCCTCAGGGACCATATATCAACTGGGTGTTGGCAGAACACCTCTGCCCACCCCTCCTGAACCCTATCCTGCCTCTGCACTGAGGGATGTGCTAAAGGAATTGGTGGCTGTGATTGCAGAGCCATTGGCCATTATGTTTGAAAACTCGTGGTGAACGGGGGAAGTCCCGGATGACTGGAAAAAGGCTAATGTAGTGCCAATCTTTAAAAAAGGGAAGAAGGAGGATCCTGGGAACTACAGGCCAGTCAGCCTCACCTCAGTCCCCGGAAAAATCATGGAGCAGTTCCTCAAAGAATCAATCCTGAAGCACTTACATGAGAGGAAAGTGATCAGGAACAGTCAGCATGGATTCACCAAGGGAAGGTCATGCCTGACTAATCTAATCACCTTCTATGATGAGATTATTGGTTCTGTGGATGAAGGGAAAGCAGTGGATGTATTGTTTCTTGACTTTAGCAAAGCTTTTGACACGGTCTCCCACAGTATTCTTGTCAGCAAGTTAAAGAAGTATGGGCTGGATGAATGCACTATAAGGTGGGTAGAAAGTTGGCTAGATTGTCGGGCTCAACGGGTAGTGATCAATGGCTCCATGTCTAGTTGGCAGCCGGTGTCAAGTGGAGTGCCCCAAGGGTCGGTCCTGGGGCCGGTTTTGTTCAATATCTTCATAAATGATCTGGAGGATGGTGCGGTTTGCACTCTCAGCAAATTTGCGGATGATACTAAACTGGGAGGAGTGGTAGATACGCTGGAGGGCAGGGATAGGATACAGAGGGACCTAGACAAATTGGAGGATTGGGCCAAAAGAAATCTGATGAGGTTCAATAAGGATAAGTGCGGGGTCCTGCACTTAGGACGGAAGAACCCAATGCACAGCTACAGACTAGGGACCGAATGGCTAGGCAGCAGTTCTGCGGAAAAGGACCTAGGGGTGACAGTGGATGAGAAGCTGGGATGAGTCAGCAGTGTGCCCTTGTTGCCAAGAAGGCCAATGGCATTTTGGGATGTATAAGTAGGGGCATAGCGAGCAGATCGAGGAACGTGATCGTCCCCCTCTATTCGACATTGGTGAGGCCTCATCTGGAGTACTGTGTCCAGTTTTGGGCCCCACACTACAAGAAGGATGTGGATAAATTGGAGAGAGTCCAGCGAAGGGCAACAAAACTGATTAGGGGTCTGGAACACATGACTTATGAGAAGAGGCTGAGGGAACTGGGATTGTTTAGTCTGCAGAAGAGAAGAATGAGGGGGGATTTGATAGCTGCTTTCAACTACCTGAGAGGTGGTTCCAGAGAGGATGGTTCTAGACTATTCTCAGTGGTAGAAGAGGACAGGACAAGGAGTAATGGTCTCAAGTTGCAGTGGAGGAGGTTTAGGTTGGATATTAGGAAAAACTTTTTCACTAGGAGGGTGGTGAAACACTGGAATGCGTTACCTAGGGAGGTGGTAGAATCTCCTTCCTTAGAAGTTTTTAAGGTCAGGCTTGACAAAGCCCTGGCTGGGATGATTTAATTGGGGATTGGTCCTGCTTTGAGCAGGGGGTTGGACTAGATGACCTCCTGAGGTCCCTTCCAACCCTGATATTCTATGATTCTATGATTCTATGTGGGACAGGATGGGTAGAAGTCAGCTCTGCTAGTTGTCTGCCTGCTGGGGATTCCCCCATGCCAGGGATATTCCCAGCAAGGGAAGATTCTGTTCCCATTGCTCTGCCCAAGTGGTGCGACTGTGGTGCGCCGAATCTGCATGGCAGTATTTATGGAGACCATATTTAGAATCCATGAAGCCACCCTTCCACTGCTTTTCTCAATACCACGTTTATTCAGCCATCAATCCATAACTCCACATCGTTCCTATCTCTAGAGCCAGCATCCATTTAGCCACCCCTGTGTTTCAGCAATAATAATTCCATGTATTCCACTTACAAGCGCTGCTCCCCAGAACGGATACCAGGAAGCCATGCACAGAGGGAGAGATTCTTTTGAGGAGAAGAACAAGATGCCCCCAAGGCCAAGGTGTATTAAGGCGACGATGATCTGTATGGCCTGCAGGGAGAGAACAAAGGCAGTACAGTCAGTAAGGTTCTCCTAATGATAAGCACTTACCCACCTCCGAAGGTGCCCCAAAGCATTACATGTTAATTAATTAGACACATTAATTAGTTAAACCTCACAACTCCCTATGGAGTTGAAAGGGGCTACCAGCTGCCGTCATGGGCTCTTGGATCCAAACACAATCACAAACCTCATTACAGCTAATGGATGGGCCAAGCACATTCCTCCAGGCTCAACAGAAGGTGCACTCAAGGCCGTTTATGTAGTAAAGACAGCAGAAAACAATGAAGGCTATTGCCCAAGGCAATAGGTTCATGGCAGGTCAGAACTAAACCATGTGGTCTGTGGGATTTTCCTGGTTGCAAACACAAGGGCTAGGAGATTGGTTGCAGCTCTCTGTGTTGGAGGCAGAGAAAAGCCAGGAGAAGCAGTTGCAAGTGTGACCCTGAGAGGAAACAGAAGCAGAATTGTTTGGGCACAGAGCTTACTGGAGAGGCAGACATTGGGGATTTCTGAGCCAGGAAGCTGCCTGTTACTGTTTGGTTCTACTGTGTTCAGGGAAAGAGGACTTTGTGGACATTCTTTGTAAATAAACAAGATCACACCAAAGAATATACCTGGCTTAGCATCAATTTCTCACCCTCATGGAAACAACTCCGCAACGCCCTGAATATTGGCCAACTGCTCATGCCAAAGGCTAACAGTACAGATATTAAGTTATTAAGTGAGTATTATGTTATTAAGAGAGGGGGAAACTGAGACACTACAGCAGTTAAGTGGCTTGCCCAGGACCTCACTGATTCAGAAACCAAGCATTATTCCCACACTCCTAGGGGGATTAGAAGCATTGCAGAATGAGTTGTTTGGAAACCTCACCATAAAAAACCCACCACCTAATGCAATGTTCTTAACTAGCTTGAATTGTCTCTTCCCCAGGCAAGGTGTGGGTGCATCGCATTAGCCTCTGCATTAGTGAAGATCAACCCCAATTTCCTCCCTCCTTGAGGCCATATCATGCCCCCGCTCTTTTGGCTCATGGGGTGGTGGTTCATATGAGGTTTGGCAGCCCCTTAGGGGAACAGCAGACATTCCTCCACAGTGAAATGGGTGCCCCATCTCCCATGCATGCAGGTTTGAGAAGGTGGCAGATTTACCCCTAGTGCCTCATTCTTTCTTGGGAATTTCTTCTGAGTGTCATCAGGGCTGTGTGGGGGGATGAGCAGGGTCACATTGTTAGCCGCAGTCCCGGGAAAGGCCATGGCATATCAATGGCTGCTGGGGAGAGACACAGCAGAGACACAGCTTATCTAGGGAGAGAGATCAAGAGAGGTTAATTTATGAGCAACCAGATCACTATTGGAATCATTGTTACATCATATTGACTTGGAGTGGGCTGTTCATCTCCAGGGACATGGATCCCATGTCCCAGTCTGCTTGCAAGCTGGGGCACAGGAAGCGTTCTGTAGCACACAGGAAGGGCACATCTCTATATCTTCCCCATGCCCCACCTTTCTATGGGGGAACCACAGAGTTACCACTGTGTAAGGCCCCCTTTATAGCTGCCAATTTGGTTTAAGGGCTGTTTTTCAGCTTACACTAAATGGGAAATCCATCTAGGGGCAGATTCTGATCTCGACTGCACTAGTGTAAATCCTGAGTCACTTTCTTAAGGCTGGTTGTTGGTGTAGCCAATGGCCCCCTCCCCCACTGGATTTCAGCTGGTGTGACGGAGAGCAGAACCTGGCCCTGACAGTCAGTGGCTATCCAAGGAGCACGTTTGTACTGAATGACTGCAAGATGGCTGGGTGAATGGGGAAGAGATCCCATTGAGCCAGTTGGCTTTGTATGCCTGCAGCTGTTTTTCTTCTTACTCTGTCTTTTAGGTTAAGACTTTTCAAAACTGATCTTCAGTTTTCCTTGGAGGGTCTAGACATCCAGAGCCAGAGCCTCAGCTGAAGTCACTGACATCAGAAGAGGATCTGACACCTAGCACCCAATCAATAGTGGATATAGAAAGGAGAATATGTGAAATAGGTATGTGTCTAGGGATGTTTGTAATACCTCATCCACTGGTGGACCCTTCCATTGCCTCAGTTTCCCCACTGGGAATTTGAATTCTGCTCCCCTTCCAACATAAACTAACAGCTTAACTCAAAACCAAGCTCACTAGTCCATTGCATCCCTCCTTGGCTTCTAATTCCCTCTTAGGAGTTTTGCTCCTGCCCCATACACAGATAGTTCCAGCCAGGCATTTCCTTCTGGGTGGCTTAGATAATCTCTTCCCTACTCCCCTGTGGTCCCCTGCAGGTCTCTCTCACTTCCCAGGCCCCGAAAGCAAGAGAGTCTCCCTTCCACTTCTTTGAGTCTCTTCCTCAACCTGGCCTGTATGTCCCAATAGGCTTGTGTCTGAATCACATGCTACCATCATGTGACCCCAGGACTTGTTCCCTTCACCTGGGGAGATGGGCTAAGCCTGGCCAAGGTGCAGCTGAGCCCTGGCCCCCAGGGCCAGCTGCCCCTGTGACTAGGACTAAGGCCCAGATCTACAAAGGTATTTAGGCTCCTAACTTCCACCGTCAATGGAAGTTAGGAGTCTAAATACTTTTGTGGATCTGGGCCTAACTCCCCACAGCACTGCCCTTTGAGTTGCCATTCATATCCCTGCAAACTGAGTGTAAAACAGTGCCATTCTGCTGTGCACACTCATTTTGCAGTGATGTAAATGACAACACAAGGTGCTGGGCAATGATGAATTAGACCCGAAGGCACTGAAGTTTGGAAGATGTCAACCAGAGTAGCTCCAGGGAAGTCAGTGGTCCTATGTCAATTTACACCAGCCTTAAAATCATTGAATCATAGAAGATTAGGGTTGGAAGAGACCTCAGGAGGTCATCTAGTCCAATCCCCTGCTCAAAGCAGAACCAACACCAACTAAATCATCCCAACCAGGTCTTTGTCAAGCTGGGCCTTAAAAACCTCTAAGGATGGAGATTCCACCATCTCCCTAAGTAACCCATTCCAGTGCTTCACCACCCTCCTAGTGAAATAGTCCAAATAGTCCAATAATATCCAACCTAGACCTCCCTGACTGCAACTTGAGACCATTGCTTCTTGTTCTGTCATCTGCCAGCACTGAGAACAGCCAAGCTCCATCCTCTTTGGAACTGCCCTGCAGGTAGTTGAAGGCTGCTATCAACTCCCCCCCCCCCACCCTCCCGCAATTCTTCTCTTCTGCAGACTAAACAATCCTAGTTCCCTCAGCCTCTCCTCATAAGTCATGTGCCCCAGCCCCCTAATAATTTTTGTTGCCCTCCGCTAGACTCTCTCCAATTTGTCCACTTTCCAATTTCTTTCTTTTCCAATTTCTCTCATTTACATGGGAACAAACCAGAAATAACCCAGCTGAAGTCAGTGTAAAGGGAGTGCAAGAGAAGAGAATCAGGTCCTTGGTTTTTATCTGCCAGCACAAGATCCTCTCTCCTCTGTGTCTGTAGAGCTCATTGCTAGTCTGTGCAACTGCACCTTGTTCATTTCACAAATGCTTTCTCGCTCCTTTCACAAGCCCCTTCTGATATCTTTGCTCCATCTGGAGCTTGCTGCTTTTGACCACAGCATCACCGCAGTGTGCTAAGAGTAGAGAGGTTTTCCTTCCTGAGCAGCATTCAACACAAGCAGAGAGGAAGTAGCCAATGGTATTTCTTTGTACTTATCAGCCTTAGTAGAATCTACTGTTCTCTCTGGTCAGGAGAGGCCATGAAGTATTTTAAAAGCTGAGATTACAGAATAAAGGGGGAAGGGACCGAAATCACTCTTGTCCTTCCATCAGTTTCGTGCATCTCCCCTGTTCCACTAAAGAGAGCTAGCTCATGTGGGCGAGAGGCATAGGTAGCAGTCATCTGACTGGCGGTGTCCTCTGTTGATTGAGTTCCCATGGGGAAGCATACACCATAGGGGTCCCTCTGCTTCCCAGAGCAACTTCAGTGTGCGTGGTGCCTGAAGGAGCCAGGTAGGGCACAGGCAATAAGATCTCCTGCTGCACAGCACAGGGAGGGGGAAATTCATCAGGATCCACAGAAGAAAAATAGTCGGGGGAGTGAGTTTATACAGCAAACAGAAAATCAATCTTGCTGCCGCTCCACACCTCCCATTCCCCCAAAGCTTCAGAGCCTGCCTCTTCTACAAACCCCCACATTCACCTCTGCCTCTCTCCCCACTCGTGCTTTGGAAAGGGAAGCAGCCACCGCTTGGGAAGGGAAGCAGCCACCACTTGGAAAGGGAAACATTTCCATTTTCAGGGCATGCGTTGTTCGGGGGCAGAGAGCTTTGCTCCCTGGGTAAGTGCACATGGTGCAAAGAGGCGTAACGTGGTCAGCTGGGCCCGACTCCACAGAGTGTATCTTGCCAATGTAACAAGCATGTTCATGGCTCCATCCTGCTCCTGCTGAAATCAGCTGGACTTCCATCACTGAGTGCAAACCCTCTGTGCTCAAGAAAGCATGAGAGTTTGTTCTTGGTACAGTGGCAACTCCTCTCCAATCACCAAGTGGCACAAGGCAATATCTACCTAAGGTGTTTAGCTTCACAACACCCCTGTGAGGCAGGGCAGTGCTGTTGTCCCCATTTTACAGTCAGGGAACTGGAGCACAGAGATATTCAGTGGCTTGCCCAGCATCACACAAGAAGTCTGTAGAAAAGCAGGAAATTGAACCTAGGTCTCCTCAGTCCCAGATGGATGTGCTAACCACTGAACAATCCCATCTCTCATAGATCATACATGGAATTCCATGTAATAACCCTGTGCTTACCTAGGTATTTCTACAACACTTATACCATCAATGCAGTGAACTGTACTAAGAAGCATTGGACTGGGTTCTGATCTCATTTTAGCTGGAGTAAATCAGGAGTAGCTTAAATGGAGTCACTCCAGATTTAAACCTATGCCACTGGGATCATGATCTGACCCCAAATGTGCCATAAATCACATGCCCTTCAACCCCATTAATTCCAGGGGCATTGTATATGAGGTAAGCTAGGGTGAAATTTGAGCCATTCATGGTAACACATTAATTTCAGAACCACACTGTCATTCACCCCGAAAGTCAAAAAGCCATTTCATCCATTCCTCAGAGCTTGGAGAAGAATCTGTTGGTCTCTTGACATTTCCTGAGCTAACAAACTTTCATTAAAGCTTCTTGCAGGTAAGAGACTGTGAAATTATTGATGCACATTAGCTAGTACATGAAATTAACAAGATACCTGTCCCGTCGACCACCAACGCCGCCTTTGTTGCGTAGCAATGAAGAGCTGGACAAGGTCCAAATGTAGATTCAAAAAGCCACTTCCTATTCCTTGTCTGAGTGAAGACAAACAGGAGAGCGGGGCTGGGACCCAGCTTTATCTCAGGCAGCAGAAATAGAGAGGGAAGACGCCTCCAAAGGAAACATAGGATTTATCTGCCTTTCTTTCAGGCTTCTTGCCTCTCCTCTTAGCTTCTTGTAGCCAACTGGGTGCTCAACTTGTGCTGCACGGTCATGTGGTTTCAGAATACGATCAGAAACGAAACTTTCATTTCCTACCAGAACAAAAGTAAAGGAACTAGACGTGGTGAATTATTTTAGTGCCATGATGGGTGGCCGAGGGAGCCAGCCAAACAATCAAAGATCAGAGCATCTCTCTGCCCCAAGGGCTCTTCTTGGGAGCACTCCTGGTCCCATTACAGCTGAATGGGAGTTTTGTCTTTGACTTCAATAGGACAGGTCTCTTTGGCCCAGATCTTCCAACGTGTACAGATGCCCAACACTCATTGATGTCAGTGGGAGTTAGATGCCATTGAGGATCTGGGCCTCAGTGTTTAAAGAAATTCGTGGGCCAGATTTTCTACTAGTGTAAATGGGGTGGGGAAGATCTCTGTTGACTTCTCTAGAGTGTCATCCATTGGCATCAGCAGAGAAATTGTTGTATGTGTGTGTGAAACACACACACACACACACACACACACATACAGTCAAAAAGAAAAGGAGGACTTGTGGCACCTTAGAGACTAACAAATACAGTCAGTGGCTCTTTGCAGGCAGGTACCCTGAGTTTATCTGTTGCTGCTTCCCATTTGGTTGGAGCCATCTCCATCCAGCCATTCCCACGACACGGCCAACAAAGGCTTCTTTAGCGCAGTGGCTGTTGATCAGGGTGTGGCGAGAATGCTGCTGCCCACACTCCGATAGGCTGGAGGGGTCGGATTGCTGCACACTCAACTGGCTTTCAGCCAGCCGCTGGTGGCCCCTGAGAAAGTTGTCCAAGAGTCATGATTGGCTGGGTTGGTCCTTGCCCATCAATCAGTTGCCAGGGCAGCAGTGGGCTGGGTGAGGGTTACATGACCTAGATGAGGAAGTCACCAGCATCCCGTGGTATGAGTGTAGTTGCTGGGTCCAGTGAGGCCTTTTTGTATTCCCTGTATCTGCTGCCACTGGCTTTCACAATGGCTGTTCTGAGTGGCCATCATGGAGGGTTAACCTTCCTCAGCCATTGGACTTTCCCTGCCACCTGGTAGAAGAATCATAGAATCATAGAATATCAGGGTTGGAAGGGACCTCAGGAGGTCATCTAGTCCAACCGCCTGCTCAAAGCAGGACCAACCCCAACTAACTGGTGTCTAGATTGGCCTGTGGGAGCTGCATGTCCAGTTTCTATGCAGATGCCCATGAAGATTTCTAAGCAGTTTCACCAGCAAGAGATTTCCCCATTGACTGGTCCATCCCTCACAAGCCCAGTCTTCTGCAGCCTGGACCCAGGTAGCAGCACTCCCCGTCTGATGATTTCTGACCTGTGGGGGTGGATTGTAGAGCTGCGATGCTCTAGACATTGTAATAATTGTCTCTGCAAGCCACAGTCCCACCAGAGATAAATCCCACCAATGAAAACCGCAGACAGTCACGTGCTGAGCTAAAGGGAACGGTAGCTCCACAGGGCCTAGCGGTTCTACAGAGCTCTTTATAGAAGCCGCATCCATGTATCAGTCTAACGGTCACCTGCCCTTGCCCTGAGCCAACCCCACCTTAGCACCCTAGCCAAGTGATAGACATGGGCAGATGAATAAATACGAGGCGGGGCATGAATCAGAAGTACTGAGCGCCCCCCACAGCTCCCACTGATAAAAGAGAGAGCAAGGGGCAGGCTAAGCACTTTGAAAATCTAGCCCAAAGGCTCAGATCCTCAAAGGTTTTACGCCTCTAGCACCCATGGATTTGAATGGATCTGGTTCTAATTGTCTATGGGCCAGATCCCCCGCTGGTGTAAATCAGTGCTACTCCACTGGAGTCGATAGCTTCAGTAGCTGTGCTTCATGGCTTTAGTTTGGCTGTGGTACACTCCTTCCAGTGGTTTACCATAGACCAGATAACTTAATCCCTTCCCCAGCGAGATCTGTCTCTATTTGGGATATTTGATGAGTTGGCCTTGAACCCTGTAAAAGCCCATATGTCCTGTGGAGACAAGGGGGCTGTACTGACCTCCCCTGGGTCTTGCTGTGAGCAATCAGCTCGGGTGATGGTTTTCCTGCTCTTAATATGCTTCGCAAATTGAAAAAACCTGAGCTTTGCAGCTGGCTGCGGTGGTTTCCGCTACGTCAAAACACAAACACGCAGACTTGACAACAACAAAGCGAATTCAAAGAATTGACGGTACATTGTGTCAGTTATGAAACAAACAGTGTTCCAGCTGGGTCCTCACTCCTCCCCTGGATCTACTGCACGTCAGCTTTCACTAAGGGGCAAATCCTCATGTGGTGTCAAGAGATGTCATTTACTACAGGGCAAGGAGGGCAGTTGCCCCCTCCAGATTGTGGTTTGCCTTGCCCACGGCTCCCCCGCCAGACTTTTCTTAGGTCTATGTGCTCCATTTTTGCCCTCTGCCCGCTCTGACTTTGCAGGAAATAACATAATCACACATAAGATGATTGCATTTCCCAAGCTATATAATCAATCATAAACTTTTCTTCACAGACATATAGAAGAAGTGCAGTTTTTCAAACATTGTTCTTTTCTGATCTAGCAGTACAGAATGCAGTTGATTGCAATGTGATGTAGTCACGCAGCTCTCAAACCTTCACCATGCTGGTGGGCATTCATTACTCATCTATTGCCTCCTCTTCCCTATGAGTTTTTCTTAAATGACACCCCAGTGGTGTCACTTGTCATAGCGCATTGACCTCAAGCCAACAGAGCTATAACAATTGACAGCAGCTGAGGATCTGTCTCTAAGTATTTTTCTTGGAACCTTCTTGACTCTTTATCACTTAATTAAGTATATAACACTAGCTGAAAGCCCAAGCTGTAATTTACTGGCTGAGAACTTAAAAAATTGGACGGTAACAGATGGTGAATCCCAGTGATGAATCAAGCTGGTAATATTCTGATCAAAAAGAGCTCTCAGCCACGCTTGTAGCCACTTCCATCACTTCACGCTGGCTCAACAGGCTTCTGAGTGACAATCCTGGAAGCTTATTAAATATATGGTTTGCAAATAAACACGGCAAACCTGCTCTGCCACAGTTTATGGGTTTGTAGTGTATAGGAATGGGATAACATCCCTTTAAATAGTTTGGAGTCATCTAGTGAACCTCGATGTCTTCTATGGGAGAAGCCACCAGAACTCAACAGACCATATATATATATAGCTAGGCCTTATGTGTTAGTAAACATAGTTATCTGGAACTCAGCTGTGCCCGTGCTGATTCCTGCTATTCTTAGTGTTATGCAGAGAGCAAAGACACTGCTGCAGTCATGTTCTTCGTTGCACATAAGTATTTGGAGGCCATCATTTTATTCGGGAAAGCAGCTGCAAGTCCTGATAGCTTCACAAATTTTAGCCCAAATTAGAATTAATTACAGAGATAAGTTATTGCTCTCTGTTACTGGTTATTCTCCTGCTTCAAAGGTTTTACCCATCCAGTCAAGGACCAGCAGCAATACCACCTGACTGAGGTGACTAATCACACAGCACAACAGCGCAAAGTGAACAACCCCATAAACTGAAATCTCTGCAGGCAGCTGCAAAGAACAAACTTGTGAGGAAAAAAATCACACATGCTCCCCACCAAGAAGAATGACTCAGTCCATCTGCAAAAAGAAAAGGAGGACTTGTGGCACCTTAGAGACTAACCAATTTATTTGAGCATAAGCTTTCGTGAGCTACAGCTCACTTCATCGGATGCATGCAGTGGAAAATACAGTAGGGGGATTTTATATACACAGAGAACATGAAACAATGGGTGTTACCATACACACTGTAACGAGAGTGATCAGGTAAGGTGAGCTATTACCAGCAGGAGAGAAAAAAAACCTTTTAAAATGGTAATCAAGGTGGGCCATTTCCAGCAGTTGACAAGAGCGTGTGAGGGGGAAAAATAAACATGGGGAAATAGTTTTACTTTGTGTAATGACACATCCACTCCCAGTCTTTATTCAAGTCTAATTTAATGGTGTCCAGTTTGCAAATTAATTCCAATTCAGCAGTGTCTCGTTGGAATCTGTTTTTGAAGTTTTTTTGTTGTAATATTGCGACTTTTAGGTCTGTAATTGAGTGACCCGAGAGATTGAAGTGTTCTCCAACTGGGTTTTTGAATGTTATAATTCTTGACATCTGATTTGTGTCCATTTATTCTTTTACGTAGACACTGTCCAGTTTGGCCAATGTACATGGCAGAGGGGCATTGCTGGCACATGATGGCATATATCACATTGGTAGATGTGCAGGTGAACGAGCCTCTGATAGTGTGGCTGATGTGATTAGGCCCAATGACGGTGTCCCCTGAATAGATATATGGACACAGTTGGCAACAGACTTTGTTGCAAGGATAGGTTCCTGGGTTAGTGTTTTTGTTGTGTGGCATGTGGTTGCTGATGAGTATTTGCTTCAGGTTGGGGGCCTGTCTGTAAGCAAGGACTGGCCTGCCTCCCAAGATCTGTGAGAGTGATGGGTCATCCTTCAGGATACGTTGTAGATCCTTGATGATGCGTTGGAGAGGTTTTAGTTGGGGGCTGAAGGTGACGGCTAGTGGCGTTCTGTTATTTTCTTTGTTGGGCCTGTCCTGTAGTAGGTAACTTCTGGGTACTCTTCTGGCTCTGTCAATCTGTGTCTTCACTTCAGCAGGTGGGTATTGTAGTTGTAAGAATGCTTGATAGAGATCTTGTAGGTGTTTTTCTCTATATGAGGGGTTGGAGCAAATGCGGTTGTATTTTAGTGGTTGGCTGTAGACAATGGATCATGTAGTGTGGTCTGGATGAAAGCTGAAGGCAAGTAGGTAAGTATAGGGGTCAGTAGGTTTCCGGTATAGGGTAGTGTTTATGTGATCATCGCTTATTAGCACTGTAGTGTCCAGGAAGTGGATCTCTTGTGTGGACTGGTCCAGGCTGAGGTTGATGGTGGGATGGAAATTGTTGAAATCATGGTGGAATTCCTCAAGGGCTTCTTTTCCATGGGTCCAGATGATGAAGATGTCATCAATGTAGTGCAAGTGGAGTAGGGGCATTAGGGGACGAGAGCTGAGGAAGCGTTGTTCTAAGTCAGCCATAAAAATGTTGGCATACTGTGGGGCCGTGCGGGTACCCATAGCAGTGCCGCTGATTTGAAGGTATACATTGTACCCAAATGTGAAATAGTTATGGGTGAGGACAAAGTCACAAAGTTCAGCCACCAGGTTTGCTGTGACATTATCGGGGATACTGCTCCTGATGGCTTGTAGTCCATCTTTGTGTGAAATGTTGATGTGGAGGGTCACATGTTCTTGTCAACTGCTGGAAATGCCCCACCTTGATTACCACTACAAAAGGTTCTTTTTCTCTCCTGCTGGTAATAGCTCACCTTACCTGATCACTCTCGTTACAGTGTGTATGGTAACACCCATTGTTTCATGTTCTCTGTGTATATAAAATCCCCCTACTGTATTTTCCACTGCCTGCATCCGATGAAGTGAGCTGTAGCTCACGAAAGCTTATGCTCAAATAAATTTGTTAGTTTCTAAGGTGCCACAAGTACTCCTTTTCTTTTTGCGGATACAGACTAACACGGCTGCTACTCTGAAATCAGTCCATCTGATAATTTACCCACAAACAGAGTTGTGCAAGTAACGGGTTTTTCAGTTCACTGGCAATTCCTGGGGGTGCAGGAAAGTCTAAAAAAGTTTGGTTTGGGTTGAAAAGAAAATGACATTTTTGGCAAGTCAAAAGTTAAAAAAAAACAACGCATGTTTTGACAAAATAAAATGTTTTGTTTTAATCCCACCCATTTTAAATTTTTTAAAGGAAATTTTGAAACAAAAATTTATTTTGGACCCCTCCCCCCCCCAAGTTTAGTTTTGAAAATGTGTAAACAAAATTGGGAGGGGGGTTGGAATTTTTTTAGGTTTATTTCCAACAATTTCCAAACAATTTGGCAACATGGACATGAATTCACCTGTCGTTTTTTGGTGAATCTCCATTTTTCACCAGGAAAAAAAAGGTTGTGGATAAAAAGTTTTGGCCAAAACCTTTCACCCCTCTCTACTCACACTAGTAATTCCACCAACTCTACCTGGTTCCTTCTTATATGTGGGTGTCTAAGACTTCTCTGCCCTTTTTCCTGCTGTCCCTGTAGGGTACCACCTCTCCCCAGTAGGAGAAAGATGCAATGTCTCCTATGACTATCCCCTCACAGCGGGGATACCAGCAGGGCAGGTGACTGGAGCTGATGGGCTAACACTCCATGTTTTCATTCAGAAGTGAGAGATTTCAGGAGACTGTGGCCGCACGCCCTCACAGCATAGACCACCAGCACCACAGTAGCTCGGCCTCTGTTTTCTTCCTGGCCTTCAGCTGATCCACCCAGCCTTCAACCCCTTCCGGGCTGACGTGACGCAGCCCTAGCTAGGTCACATCAATGTTCCACCACTTCCAGGGCAACCAAAGTCCAAACTGAACACAAAGAAACAAAAACTCTTCCCTTCCCACAGGGAGGCTGCACTAAGCAGCAGTCTCCCCCTCTTCCTGGCCTCCACCAGCCTTCTCTCTTTCTCAGTGAGCATGTCAGATCTGCTCTCCTAGCCAGCCAGGCAGCAACAGAGCTGGGTTCTCCCTTTTTAGCTCTTCCCTCAAAGACTGACACCTGCACAGGTGTCACAGGGCAGGGCTGACTGGGCTCCGATTAATCCTTTCCTGACTCCTGTGGGGTCTGTAAACCTCATCACAGAGAGAAACAAACCAACCAAACCATGAGCAAGGTGAAACTGGATTGTTTATTTTTTTGAAGAAGGGGGTGTTCTACATGTTAAGAAACCATCCTGCGGGGAACGGCAGCACACCTCAATCAGCCGCAAAGCCATTTCTTTGGAGCAATAATGCATGTCATGATCCATGCCTGCAGCTTCGCTGATAGACCTACTCATTAAAGCAGGAGGAGATGCCCCTGGTAGACTTCTTGTGGAAGATCAAATACCAGGACTCTGTAATCGAGCAGAGAAAGGCATAATGAGAACCGATGGCTGAAAGCTGAAGCCAGACAAATTAAATTAGAAATTAGGCACAAATTTCTAATGGTGCATACGATTAACAGACTACCAAGGGAAATGATGGATTCTCCATCTCTTGATGGTTTCAGATCAAGACTGATGCCTTTGTGGAAGAGGCTTCAGCTGAACACAAGTTATCAGGCGCAGTGCAGGGGTAACTGAGTGACATGCACTGACCAGTGTTATACAGAAGGTCAGAGTAGATGATTTAACGGTGCCTTCTGGCCTTATAATCTATGGCTCCATGAATCAGAGAGTTCCAGGTTTCAGGGAGATGCTTTCAGATAACAATTACACATCATGGATGAAGCTGGGTTCAGAGCTTGGTTGAGGGAATCCATAACATGTGCCAGGCTCTGGGCTGCTCTCTAGCCCACTTCCTGTTAGCTAGCTGCAGGGCCCATCAGATGGTGCTATGCCATCCTCTCCCCATCCAGGATTTTGCAGGACAGGCCCTTGGCTTGCAGGACATTAATAGATTTTGGGGGGTGCTTGTGCCGTGGCGCAATGGTGTGGCAGCTCAGCAGGGGACATGTGAGCAGCAACAACACACAATGGCAGTTAGCAGGGGTTTTCCACAAGGGGGATTGATGGAGGGAAAGCAGAGAGGGTGAAACAGAAACGCCTCTCACTGAGGGGCACGGGGTAGCTGCTCACTGAGGGGGGCTGTCGGTCTCTCCACCAGGGGACACTCATGCTGTGGGTCCCTCTGACACCACAGGCTCTGGCTCCGCGGTGGCCTCATGGGAAGCAGGCAGATTTGTCAGGGTAGCGACTGGCTGGGAGCAAAACACAAAGTCATGGGGTGAGCAGTGATGGCTCAGGAGGGGTAGCCCTGGCCGATCACCTCCTAGCCATGGGCAGCTGCTCCCTGGCCTGTCTGTTCATTGCTTTAGTATCTCCCTGCCCTTATCCAGGCACAGACATAAACACTTCATAGACACCCCATGGAGCATCTGCTCCCATCTGCCTCTCAGTCTTACCCCTTTGCTCCCCTTCTCTACTCAGCCACCCTCTGCCTGTCTCCCACGCTCTCGCCATCTCTGCTTATCCCCCCAGGGTCCATCCCTACTTTCCTTCCATCCCTTTCCCCCCAGCTCTCTGTGTTAACCCCACTCCTCCCCACATCTCCCAGAAGCAGTGGGGTAGTTACCACATCATCGGCAGAGTTCTGGCGACACACTGCTTTGCACCCGAAGGCTGCCAGGGCAATGGAAACGAAGAACCCCAGCGAAGTTAAGATCAGGATGATGACCCGCATGCCCGTGCAATAGTGCTGGGAAACAGAGCAGGAGATGGGGAATCACAGACAAGCCCCTGGACTCAGCACAGATCAGAGGAACTAATGACCGGACAGCCCTGTTTGTTTCCATTGTCCATCCCCTGGTAGGAATGGGAAGGAGTGTTCCCTGCAGTCTATTCTCATGTCCTGTCCAGTTCCAGTGAGTCAAGCTCCAGGAAGCCGTCAACAGGAGGAGGAATTCCAGGAATTAATGAATCCCCCACCTACCCCAAGAGACAGTTCCCAGGGGACAGAGAAATGAAGCCCAGGCCTGAGTTCCTCAGGAGATATATCCCCTCCTCCAACTCCCATCCCTCATCCCATCCCCCGATCACAGCCAGCTGGCTGCCCCACCATTGCTCTTCTATAGCTCTCCAAGGAGGAGGCACCCACCAAGACCTGGTACAGCCGCCTGCAGTGCAACCTGTTGCTGGAAGGACACCGGATGTACCGATTATGGGGATCGTACACCAAGTCCACCAGGTAGAATAAGTTGATCACGCCCACCACCACCGTGCAGATGATGTCGATGACCAGGCAGGCTTTCACCTGGAAGATGAAGGGAAACGGTTGTCGCTGCTAGGAAGCACCAGGGTGCTGGAGAGTAGGAATGGGGGACTGCCAATGCTCCTGGACAGATAACGGCTGTAGTCCTAAACCCCAGCATGCTCCCCTAGAGTCCTTCCAGTGTACAGAGGGGAGCTGCCCCATCAAGAGATCACCTCCTAGCACAGCCCCTCTCTGGATCCATCTCACACTGACATATGGGCTTGGCCTCCTGTCCTGACTTGCCCTTCCCTCCCAACTAGCTCTGCCTTGCCTCTCCTGAGGACTGGGCCAGGATCACCTCTTTCTTCCCCAGGGCTGCCCCATGTCCTGGCTCTGTCCCCTGGATCTGCCTATGGCTCTATGTCCCCTTCATGCAGCTGGGCCTTGGGTACCCCAGCTGCCCCTAAGAGCACCACTATAAATGTGGTTCACCTCAGCCACTGCTCCTGGCCCATCCCTCACCAGTGGCTTCCTCCTCTTCTCCCCACCTCGCCCTCTGACAGAATTCCCCAGTGCAAGGCACAGCTACCTTGAGCCTCATAGCCCCAACTGGCCCAGAGGGTACAGTCCCTCTTAGGAGGGTCGCTTGTCTGGGGAGAGGAATGAGGAGGGATGTGACCAAGCCCTGATGCAGCCCTGGGCCAGGCTTTATCAAGAGGTTACTCACCAGAGCCAGGCTGTGGGCTGTGTCTGCAGCCAGAGTGATGATGCCGGCCAAGAGCAACTGGAGAGGAAAAGAAAATAATCAGGAGCATCGGCAGAGCTGGGGTGGGGAGGGACTGGGATAGCAGGAGGCTGCAGGTTAGGGGTATTGGCAGAAATGTGGGTGGGGGGAACCCACGGCTGGTATAGCAAGAAGGCTGTGGGTTGGGGGACATCAGCAGGGCTGGGGGTAGGGAGAGAACCCAGGAGAGAGATAGCAGGGGTTGGGGGTCAGGACTGAGAGGCACCGGCAGAGCTGGGCATGGAGGCTTAGGCAATGTGTCATTCATAGAATATCAGGGTTGGAAGGGACCTCAGGAGGTCATCTAGTCCAACCCCCTGCTCGAAGCAGGACCAATCCCCACTTTTTTCCCCAGATCCCTAAATGGCCCCCTCAAGGACTGAACTCACAACCCTGGATTTAGCATGCCAATGCTCAAACCACTGAGCTATCCCTCCCCCCAAAGCTACCCCTTTACCAGCACTGCTGAGTAAAAGTGGACGTGCAGCTCATCCCTATAGACGCAGGGGGAAATGGCCAAGAGGACACCAAAGGCCATCTGCAGCAGCCCCACCAACAGCAAGAGGGCCTGCAAACGGGAAACAAACCTGCCATCAGCATATGGCTCTGTGCGGGGGCAGGACAACAAGCAGGGGGCAGAGACAGGCGCCATGTCCAGTCACTGGCTAACAGGCAGCGGGGTCTATCTGACAAGAGGATCCCAAAGACCCCAGGTGCTGTGCAGGGCTGGCAGAGAGCGTGAGGCTGGAGCAACAAGGGGATGAGCTGTGAGATGGGGCAACAGCTTTGTGTGTGTGTGTGTGTGTGTGTGTGTGCACATGCGAGAGAGAGAGAGACTCTCCAGCCCTCAGCCGCCCTCCATGCACGTTGCTCACCCCCAAGACTCTGGGCTGCCCCTGGAGGAACCGCTGCATCAGGGGTCCTGCTTCCGACATGACAGAACCCAGCCTCTTGATATAGACCAAACTCCTCACAGGCTCTGGAGCAGGAAAGACAGCCCTGTGGGTGCAACAGGGACTGGGTCATGGGGTGCACTGGAATGCAAAACTGCATTATACCGTTCAGCTGCTAGGCGTTGCCGTGTGGAATATACCTTAGTTAAACCATTCCTGGCAGTGAATGAAAGGATTTTACAGCAAAGACGTCTCTGGGAGAAAGGCTCTGCAGCCAGTCCATATCTGGTACAAGAGCCTGACTTGCTTATGGCAGCTCAGCAGCCTAACATGCACAAAACGTACACAGGGCATGTAATGATAGCAGAGACTTTGGAGTAACCAGTTACCCATAATGTTGTATGGGGGAAATCATTATGCAGGGAGCCTTATTTGGAGCCGAGCCAGCAACACTTATCTGTACATTTCTCAGCCACAAACTCAGGAAAGTGTTTACTGTTACTCTCTGGTGTCTTTTCTGGTGTTATAACAGCAAGTTGGCAACAGCTATTACATGGTGTCAGAACAAAACTGAAAGTAAGACTAGAGGAGAATGAATCTGGAAAACACTGGACCAACTAAAGCCTCCAGGAAAGTTTGCATTTGAAGGAAATGCAGCAGAAAACTGGAGAAAATGGAAGCAAAGCTGTACGGCACTGGGAGAGGCACAGACAAAAAGATGAGTGGCTGCAAACAGCATTACTTCTTCCTGTGGCAGGTGAAGAAATGAGAGACATATTTAACACTTTTCTATTTGATGATGCAGTAGATTAAAAAAAAATCAGGTCTTAAACAGGAAGTTTGAGGCATACTGTCCACTGCCAAGAAATATCCCGTATGAGACTGGAACACAGGTTTCACTAGAAGTCAGACAGATGGGGAAAATATAGACTAGCGTGCGACTGATGGAAAACTGGCAGCACAATCCTCACTCAGTAGAGACCCCATTGCGTGTGGTATTGTGTCTGACTCTGTGCGAGTGAGTTTAACCCTTGAATGTGCTGACGTGCAGATGAAAAGGCTGCAACCACAAGTGTCTTGAGGCCATTTTCAGAAAACCTTTTCATAGTACTCCATCAAGGATTCAAAGGTGGTTGCTAATACTCCAGAAATATCAACTGGAAGTTGGATACAGACCAGGGAAAGAATTAGTAATTGCTGACACTTTATCCAGAGTCTACATGTTGCATGATGAAGGAGTAAGTTCAGAGGAAGCTGATGTTGCACTACATCTGATTAGCTTTTATTTTGCCTATTGCCAAACAGAAATTGAAGGAATTTCAAGCAGTTCCTGCAAATAATGTTGTTCTGCAAACTATTTGGCAAAGAGTGCCAGACAATAGATCTGTAGTACCAGAGTTTATTCGTGTTATTGGTCATACAGAGAAGAGGCACACATTTTTAACAGTGCAGGTGATTAACCAATGGAACAAGCTGCCAAGGGAAATGGTGGATTCTCCATCTCTTGATGGCTTCAAATCCAACCTGGAGGCTGTTCTGGAAGAAGCTTCAGCCAAACACAAGTTACTGAGCTCCACACAGGTGTAACTGAGTGACATTCTGTGGCCTGTGCCACACAGGTGGTCAGACCAGATGATCTAACAGTCCCTTCTGGCCTTTAAATCTAGGAATCCATGAAAACCTGAGAGCAAGCCAGAAACCTGAGAGCAATTGGAGATCTTATACCACCTCCGTGCAACCCATTTAGTGACAGCATCACTCCCATGGCCTGCTAACGGAGTTCCATGTCCTGACCCCATTAAGAGCCTGTCTCCCTCGCCTCTTCTCTCTCACTTTTCCACCCTCTCTATCCCTCTGTATTTTCCCCTTTGAATTCATCCATTCTCTCTCTTTCAGTCTCTCTGTCCCCAGCCAGTGCAGCCCCTCCTTAGAGAGGCACCCCTGGGAGGATCAGCCTGGTCCCTGTGGGGGAAGCCCCAAGGGACGGGGGAACAGGCCTAGTCTCTAGCTAGGAAGCAAGTGGGAAGCAGAGGATAAGGAAACAGATAAGGACACAGATTTTGGGTTCCCAGGGTGGGAGACTCCTCTGGCCAGGGATCCTGTCCTGCCCCAGAGGGTCCTTCACCCTACTCAGGCCAGCCACCTCTCCTGCAAGTGATCCAGCCCCAAACCCCTCATCCCATCCACTGCCCTCATCATTGTCCCCTCACACACCCAGCCCTGCCTGGGGCCTGCATCTCCCCCTGGCGCTCACCTGTGTTGCTCTATCTCAGCACGGGGTGGGCTCTCGGCGTGAGTGCTATTCACCAGCTCTGCGCCTGTTTCTCCTGCCACTCCCCTGCCAGACCAATCCGATCCTCCTTGTCACATTACAGCCAGGACACCCCTTCCAGGAAATGTCCCAACCTCCCACAGGGCTGCCAGATGCTTACCGCAAACAAGGGACTTTCAACATCGGGCTTGGTCTGCTTCCCCACCCCCATCCTCGCTCAAGGATCTGTAGATACTTAGCACATCAGTCTCCCCCAGGAGTCATGGGAGTGACCCATCCACAGTCCCCATCTCGCCCATTCCTCCTTCAGGAGACTTCCTCCGGCCTTAGACCCAATGCAGGGGTAGCTTTCCCTCTCCTGGAAAGGAGAGTGAGGTGAAATATTTGGCCTGAACCTTCTTCTGGTGAAAAATGCAGATTCAGATCAGCTGAAATATTTTGCAAATTTGTGTTGAATTCTCCAAATCAGAGGGGGAAAAAACCCTAAAAATTTCCGAACAAAAATTGAAAGGTTTCAACTTGACATTTTCAAAACCAGACTTATTGATTCAACACACCTTTTCATTTAAAACCAAACTGGTCTCCTTTTTAAAAAATTAAGAAACCCTTAAAAATAATAGCTCAAAGATGAAACAACATTATATGAAACTGGTTATATGAAACTTTCCACTCAACTCTAAATGATATTTTTCTTGACTTTATGGTTTGCCAAAAATGTTGAAATTATTTTTGTTGTGGTTCAATCAAAAGTGAATCCCTCCCCCCCCCGGCAACATTTTGGTACCCCACAAAATAGATTATTCACAGGGCTCTACTGCAAAGCCCTTTCCAGCCACAGATTTTGTAGGGATGTAACCCCCACTTCCCAAAAGCACATATGCCTGCTACATACTCCCACTGATGGGTTAGGCTTTAACCTCACTCCTGCCATGTGAGGCCCACTGGCCGACCTGAGCTGGCACAGAGCCTATTGGGTTCTGCATCATCACCAGGATTGGCAAGTTCCCATCACATGGCCAGAGAGAAACAGAATTTGGCACTGCTCGCTTGAGAGGGTCCAAACTCTGCTTGAGGTGGGGGTGGGGTTGATTGTTGGACAAGCATCATTCTTATGTCAGTGTACAAGACTTGACTCACAGCAGATGCACCCCCTCATGGGTGGGCATGGTGTAGCAGGTCTTTTGTTTCTAGCACCCCATGTCCATGGTTGCTCCAGTCCCACTGTGGTTCATATCTTCTCACAACTCAATGAGGTCACGTTTTAGTTCCACCCCTTTTGGGGTAACAAAGTCCAAAAACTAATATTCCCACTCCTTGAGTTTGCTGTGGGCCCCATGGTCCTTATGTCAGAGCTCTCAAAACTCCTTACCCTCTAATGTCAAGGCATGTCACACAAACTTCATCCTCCCAAGGTCTGCTCCCTCAGGCTCCTTGTTGCTACCTGCCTGGAGTTCTTCCTAGAGTAGCCTCTTTTCCAGGCCTTCTCCTGCCCCCGTAGGCCAAAAGCCTAATGGGAAGAAATTGTCTAAAGTAAAATTGTACTCCATTTTGCTTATTTTGGCCTATACTCCATTTTGCTAGCTTTGAATTAGTAAGAAGAAATTGTAGCCTTGAATTAGTAAAAAGAAATTGTTCTGAGTTTATTCTTTGCTGATTGTGTTAACATTTGTTCTTAGAAGGATAGGAGTTTTATGGCTGTAATTGCCTTATTTACTGTTTGGTGTGAGTGAAGAATGTATGGTAATTAACTGAGAAAGGACAACTAGGCTGGATGGTCAAGAAGGGAGTGGAGGAGTCAAGAGGCACCAACTTTATTATCAATCACCCAGATGGCAGATTGACGACCCTCAAGCAAAGGCACACACTCCAAGGAGGAGGTAAGGAGTTGAGCCAAAGGGACGAGAGAAGAAACAGCTGCAGAACCTCCCGGTAACAACTCAAAATAATACTAATTAAGAGCAACTTTGAATACCTCGTGATTGACAGTTCCGGTATGACACAGCAAGGTCGATAGACTTGTATGGGAACTTATCGCTATAAAAGAAGTGTGTATTGCTATGGGACTTTGGGTTCGTTCTGCATCAACATCAGAGCTTCGAACACGTTCGACAGAGGCCCAGCTTCCCTCCCTCATGTGCAGTTTCAGCTGGCCACTGGAACTGACCGAGCAACACCAAGGACTGGTAACTTTAAGATCCAGCTGCAGAACCTTTTGGAGTGTGAGTGGAAGCATATGCTGATTTCAATGCTTAAATTGTACTCTCAATAAATGTGGCATATTACCTTATCCCCTTTAAAAAGATTCCATGTGCTTCTTATACGCATAACACCCCCACCTCTTGAAGTTCACCCTTCTCTCAGGACCCTCCCCCACCAAAATCCCAAACCAAAAGACAAATGTAAACCCGCTTCTGCCCTCCCTAGGCTTGACCTTGTGTCTCTTCCTCTGTTGAAATGCTCTAGGGTTCTCTCCCTGGACGTTCAGAGCCTGCCCTATTATCAGGGCTCACCACCACAGCCTGCCTCTGCCAGCCTCTTACCCGACTTTTCTACTCAGAAAAGGATGCCAGTGCTACCTCACTCTCCCCCTGGGCTTCCCCCTTGACCTTCCTCATCTCCCTAGTCACCCATCCCCAGAGAGGGACTGGACATTCTTTCCCTCTGCCCCAGCAGCTTCCTAATCTGTGCTTCCTTTCTTTATAGTCACCACTTTGCAGCTTCTTCTCCAGCTGGGCTCCATCTTTAATTAGGCCTGCAGGGGCAGGTAGATGAGTTAATTATCCTCATGACAATTAACCATTTCAAAGCCAAGATGCGGTATTTATCCCTTCACAGCTGGAAAAGCTTTTCTGAGGAGGAAGGTTTTGGAGTGATCCCCTGTGGGAGTTGGTTCTGTACCATGTTCAAAACAATGACCAGAGTGGTCACTTGACTTCAGTGGATTATGGGACATTTCCGGGGGCCAATCACAGCACAGAAATGCAACACATCACCATACTAATACCCCGGTGCTCCAGCCTGGGCACAGAAAGCTCTATGCTTGTCATGTAGGTGGATTACCAGATGCGCTCCATCTGCAGAATCCAGGCACTCTAAGTGCCTTGCCATTGTGGACACCTCAGGAGTTAGGGCGCCTGGGGCTGATTTAATGCACTCTAACTTGCAAGTGTAGCCAAGGCCTAAATCTCTGGCACTTCCTGACTGAATGCAAAACTCAGCATCTGTAATATGCCATTGGTACAGATGCTTAATTTTACCATGACAAGATTGTATCAGTGATAGCCCAGTCTCGGTTTTAAAAAAAACATTTCATGCTGTGTTCATGCAACAAAAAATAGTGTCAGCTTCCAGGCATTGATTGGTTAGTTTGCTTTGATCTAGTCTTCTTAGAAACAGGACCAAGCCCTGGTCTACACTAGGAGTTGAGGTCAAATTTAGCAGCGTTAAATCGATTTAACCCTGCACCCGTCCACATGACGAAGCCCTTTCTTTTTACTTAAAGGGCTCTTAAAATCGATTTCTTTACTCCACCCCCTGACAAGGGGATTAGCGCTGAAATTGGCCTTATCTGGTCAAATTTGGGGTAGTGTGGACGCAATTCGCCAGTATTGGCCTCGGGGAGCTATTCCAGAATGCTCCATTGTGACCGCTCTGGACAGCACTCTCAACTCAGATGCACTGGCCAGGTAGAGGCCCACGAACTTTTGAATCTCATTTCCTGTTTGGCCAGTGTGGCAAGCTGCAGGTGAGTGCAGAGCTCATCAGCAGGGGTGACTATGATGGAGTCCCAGAATCGCAAAAGAGCTACAGCATGGACCGAACGGGAGGTACGTGATCTGATCACTGTATGGGGAGAGGAATCCATGCTATCAGAACTACATTCCAGTTTTCGAAATGCCAAAACATTTGCCAAAATCTCCCAGGGCATGAAGGATAGAGGCCATAACAGGAACCCAAAGCAGTGCCATGTGAAACTTAAGGAGCTGAGGCAAGCCTACCAGAAAACCAGAGAGGCAAACGGCCGCACCGGGTCAGAGCCCCAAACATTTGGCTTCTATGATGAGCTGCATGCCATTTTAGGGGGTTCAGCCACCACTACCCCAACCCTGTGCTTTGACTCCGTCAATGGAGATGGAGACAACATGGAAGCAGGTTTTAGGGACAAGGAAGATGATGATGATGAGGTTGTAGATAGCTCACAGCAAGCAAGCGGAGAAACTGGTTTTTCTGACAGCCAGGAACTGTTTCTCACCCTGGACCTGGAGCCAGTACCCCCCGAACCCACCCAAGGCTGCCTCCCGGACCCGCCAGGTGGAGAAGGGACCTCTGGTGAGTGTACCTTTTTAAATAGTATACATGGTTTAAAAGCAAGCATGTTTCATGATTAATTTGCCCTGGAATTCACGGCCAGTATAGCTACTGGAAAAGTCTGTTAACATGTCTGGGGATGGAGGGGAAATCCTCCAGTGACATCTCCATAAGCTCTCCTGGATGTACTCCCAAAGCCTTTACAAAAGGTTTCTGGGGAGGGCAGCCTTATTCCATCCACCATGGTAGGACATTTTACTCCCATGTTATCCTTAGGAGAGTAATATCATTCATGGTCACCTGGTTGAAATAGGGTGCTTTTCTTAAGGGGACATTCAGAGGTGCCCGTTCCTGCTGGGCTGTTTGCCTCTGGCTGAACTGAAATGTTCCCCGCTGTTAGCCATACAGTGGGGGGAAGGAAGAGGAGGGAGGGGTTAGCCATGCGGTGGAGGGAGGCAAAATGTGACTTTGTAATGAAAGCACATGTGCTATGTATGTAATGTTAACAGCAAGGTTTACCGTGAAAGAAAGAGTGTACCCATTATTCTATAAAATATGTCTTTTTAAATACCACTGTCCCTTTTTTTTCCTCCACCAGCTGCATGTGTTTCAAGGATCACAGGATCTTCTCCTTCCCAGAGGCTAGCGAAGATTAGTAGGCGAAAAAAACGCACTCGCGATGAAATGTTCTCTGACCTCATGCTGTCCTCCCACACTGACAAAGCACAGACGAATGCATGGAGGCAGACAATGTC